ATTATTCTTGTTTTTCTTGTTTAGTGATTTTCTCTACACACATGCAAACAGAGCTTTCATGGAGACAAGCTTTTCAGGCAAACAGCTGCACAGCAAAATGAAAGAAGTGATTAACTGGAGAAATATTTCACCAATTCCAAAATAATCTCATTCATGTTAAAGTACAGATATCAGTGATATCAGTGCTGTGAGGGAAATGCATTCATGAACCGGCATGAGAGTGCACCCGTGTATCAAATGCCAACAAAAACCTGCTAAAAGTACCCGGTGTTCAGTTAAATCCTGGCACAGAAGCTGCTGATTTTAGCAAGAATTGTTTTGCCAGTGCTGAGCCACTGCTTGCAGGTTTTGTTTTTCTTGGTTGCAATACATGAAAATAGAGCCACGCCAACAAAAATTTATTTGACCTTGTGTTGACAAAAGCTCTTGAACAATCAAGGGGATTATTTCTTAACTAGCTCAATCAACAACTTTTACTTCACTTGAGAAGCCACTGGATTGCAGTCAGTGGTTGGAGGAATCCCTGCCTTGGAAGTGTCAGCGCCTTGGGATGCACAAAGAGTTTGTTGCAAATAAAAAAAAAGCTCCCAAAAAAAGCTCCCTTTGCCTTCCTAAGTCCTCTCCAGGGTCTCAAAGATAGTCCTCACCCATTAAATTCATACTGCTGGGAATTAGGACCATCTGCTTTATATCTGAAAAAATCTAAATAATATCACATAAACAAAGCTAAACATGATAGGCTAAAATCTTTTTTTATCCAAAAATTTTTGGCAGCCTGAGATTTGCTTGTGTAGCTGAAATCCAAAGCACAGCTTTGGAACAGAAATTCTCTTGCTCCTAAACTCTGTCAAGATTTCATACAACCTTGCCCCAAATTTCATGTACTTCTCCAGGTCTCTGTCTAGCGATGCAAAGTACTCCTTCCTTGTGCACAGCAGTTCCTGAAATGAAAGGAATTATGAAACAAAGTTTTATGCCAGACTAAATCTTGGTTGCCACAACCAGTTTACCCAAATAAATCTGAATTCCAGAGCAATGACTTGGCTCCATAAGCTGGTCCATGCACTGTGGGTGCTCAGGAGTGAGATGATTTGCAAAGCAGGAGCAATTCCATGTGGGAAGCACTGTGCTCCTTTGCATGCCTAAATTCCACATGCAGGGCTATAATTTGCATGCACAACAGTTTGCATACATTAAGGATTTTTCCTTTTTTGCATAAAAGGCCCGGTAGATGCCAAAGCAATGACTTGTGTACAAAACCACAGTAATCCTACCTGCAAGTCAGACCTTTAGATAAACAAGCTTTACTTATTTAAAGCAGCTCTTAAACTATGAAAATCTGCTTTAAATGAACACATGTTCTCACAAAGCATGTAACTGGTCATGAAAATGATTCCCATCAGAAAAGGCAACATCCCACAAATTTCTCCTATAAAATTTATGTCATGAATTAGAAGTGAGGCATATTATTATTTTGCAGCACAAGCAGGGAAAAAAACCTATACTTTTCAGTTGTGTTTAATCTTCATTTAGTCACAGAGTATGTATTACCTATGGTATCTCTTTTATTTTGGGAATAGGTGGGCACAGCTAATCCCGGGCCACTGAGCCATGGATCACCACAAATGTTTTGGAGAGAAGTCATCCTGATATAAACACCCATTTTACAGAGTAATCCCATTTTTCCATAACACACCGACTTTTTGCTATGCAGATAAGCCTGTAGGTTATTCAAATTTCTATTTCATTCCTCACTGAAAGTTTGCCAGCCCTTGACAATTAGGACCATGAGTTGTCTCCATATAAAAGTTACTGCCAAATATGAAAAGTGTTTTGCTTCTGCACTCTAGTCCAAGCAATTTGTAGGAACCCCATGTCCCACAGAAACCAAATCAATTCTCTTCAACAGAAGAATTGTTTGGGAGATAAATATAGCTCAGGTGTCCTTTTAGGCAATGAAGTGAATTCCATGCTGGTCTAGACTCACCTTTATCCAGATAAAAGTCTAGGAAAAGAAGTTTTGTGAATTTTCAGTTGTCACTGGCATTGGTTCAGCAGCACAAAAGGGCAATTTAAGCAATTTGTGATGAGTTAGACAAATTTAGGACCTATGAAAACCATTCTGCACATCTCTGTGTAGGAAATAATTCCTGCTTTTGAGTTAGTGGAAATTCCCTCAGAAAATCAGCACAAAACCAAATCCTCAGCTTTGCCTCTAAAAGTTTAATTTTAAAGATAATGTACCTTGTTTACTGGGAATACATCCAGAACATGACACACACCTTGGGCTGGCTAAACATTCAGCAAATTGTAACATCTGGGACTTAGGGAATTTTAAGTAGCAAACTGGAAATCAATACCTTGTTTTCCCCTATAATCACTGTCCACGGCTCAATCCCCACTTCCCTTCCCCCAGCTGTGTTTTTTTGTAATATCAGCAATGGCTTAAAATCTTCTTAGAAACACCTTCAAGAAAACAGGATTCAAGCTAAAGAAAATGGAGAATTCTCCTTAGTTCTCAAGAAAAACAAGGAGTTTCTCCCAGGTTTATGTACTCAGTGTAAGCAGTGACCCACCAGTTTTCAATGGCCTTGGCTTCATACAGAGTAAAGATCTCATTGCAGGGCCATATGAAGCATTTCAGAAGAGAAGAGACACAGACAGCAATCTAACCTAGATTCCAGTCAGTCAAATGGCTGTCAGATCAGGTACCTAAGGAATATGTTTTGTCTTTATAAACAGAACAGGTTTTTTTATAAATGCAGTCGCCTGTTAGCACTCTTACTTGTATTCATTTAATTTTCAGCCATAGCAGCACATTTCATTAAAAGGGTACATTTGCCTCAGACTATATCAACAGGTTTGCCAACAGCATCAAGCCAGATATTATTTTGTAAATTCATCAGGATATTGCCATGATGCCATTCAGATCACATAGCACCTATGTATTATATATGCAAGGCTAGTGGCACCAGGCAGCTCTTTTTCCAATTAATACATGTCAAAGCAAATTGTTTGGAGGAGGGAAATAAACCAAAAATGAAAGAAAAGGAGATTTCTGCACAATTGCCCATTGCATCATGAAAACTCACCTCATCTGCATAATATTAATGATATGAAATATGCAAACAGATGTTTCTCTCATTAAATGCTGTATGCAAATAACACTAGGAGGAGTGCTAATGTTGTTTCAGGGTTGAGAGATCATGGGGGGTAATTAAAGGTTAATCCAGTTTTCAGTTCACAGATTGTAAGACATGAGTGGTTGTAAAGAAAATTGTCACTTAACCTTCATTATCCAGAGCATATGGATTTTTCCTCTAGAATAGCAAAAACATATATATGTATTTATCTGTACTCTAGTCCCAAGTATGGTGCATATCATTAGAGAAGAAGAGAAATTATTTGTTGAAATGAATGTCATTAAGGAGGTGCCGGAATGCATTAATTAGGGAAAGCAGGATTCGGTCAGAAGTTCTCAGACAGCAATCTAAATCCTGCAATTTCACTGACTACACTTCAATTGCTGAGATGTTGTCAAATGTTAATAGAAAAGCACCTGAAGTACACGTGGAACAAGTCCCCTAAAATAATTAAAAGCCTAATGTTAGAGATCCCGTGCGGTTTCCTCGTCAGCCCTGTGAGGTGGATGGTTCCATCAGCAGTAGGCTCACAACCCTCTCTTTCTCTCAGAGCATCCTGCTGGGCAGATTGGAAGCAGTAAACATTTTAGCACTTAGATCTGAGTTCAACATGCCAGATGAGACATTCCCACTCCGTGCTCATAGGAGAAAATAAAGTGATAAGTGCCTGCGCTGCAGTCAAGCCCTGCTCTTCAGCAGCGAGGATTTGTGCCGATCGAAAGGCAGGGCCAGTGTGAACCACAGCAGCCACAGGTGGGAAGAAGTAGAAAGAAGCAAAGAAATATCTTGATTTGTGCAACTCTCTCTATACAATATCTGGGTGAAAATCGATGTGGGCTTGGGATAGTGAGAGTGAGAAATCAGAGAGGAGGTGAGAGTTGGTTCTGTTCAGCCTTGGGTCCAGGGACTGTAGCATTCTCTGCTTCCGAGGCTATATGGCATGTTTTGATGGATATTTTGGTGTTTTACTTAAAAAGTAGTCTTGCAGTCTGGAAGTTCTGCAATTTCCTTTAAGTATGGAACAAGAGCAAGGGTTTCTGTGTGCCTCTGCAGTGTGTTTCACCATCTGGCTGTCCCTACTGTCTCTGACACTCCTCCCCCAGTAACAGCACTAGACCTTCCATCTGTGCCTCACTGGTTCTTTGGGCTCAAAAACCATTTTCCCTCCCTTCTGACCTTGCAAATTCCTTTTTGTGCACTACACAACATCAAAGAACCACAATCACACCAGCCTGGCCTCAACACTTACCTTGGTTTCCTGGTCTGAATAGCACAGATTTGGCCCAAAAGTTTCAAACAGCACTGAGTAGAATATAGCCTCATTTTGAGCTATCATGATATTCTAGCTCTAGAATTTCACTATAGAATTAGGTTTAAGAACTCCTCATTAACTGAGGCTACAAAAAAACCCCAACTATATAATTGTATTATATGAGATAAAAATCAACAAACTTATATATCTGTCTGCATTCATGTGACATCCTGTCATAAATGGTGCTTTGTAGAAATTCCCCTTTTCAATGATTTTTCACAGCTGTTTACAGCCTGCTCCCATTTGAAAAAAGGTCTGATATCCAAGAAGAAAATGTCAGTGAAAGTATCACTTTTTCTGAAGCTGAGCACTGCAGAAAGATTTTGCTTTATGTTACTTTGCCATGAATGGCTGCAGTGAAACACAAGGGTTGTCTTCCTCCTCTTGAGCGTGGGCCTTACTTTCTCTTGGGTCATAAACTTTTGTAAGGATATTACATTTAGCCAGCTGCAAATTTAAGGGCAACACAGGGCTCATCTCCAGCACCACAGAAAAGACTTTCAAACACCAAAAGCCCACAGCAGAAACAAGGCACGGGGGGAAATCCCACCTTTCACCCTGACCTTGGGCGAGCCATGGCCGCCTCCAGCTGCACATCCGTGGCCACCAGCGGCAGCTGCTGGCCCTTGGCAGCCGCCTGAACAAACAGGGGGATTGAGGATTATTACCCGGTGCTGGGAGCAGCCTGTGGCACGGTGGGTTCTGTCACCCCGGGGTACGGGGGTGTGGGGCAGGACGTGGCACCGCCACAAAGGAGCGGGGCCGGCAGGTGCAGGAGCCCGGCGGGTCTGTTCAGGGCTGATAGCATTGAATCAGCACAAAGGTGCTCCCACGCCTTCCCCAGCAGCCTCATCGAGCATGGGGAGAGACAATTCCGACTGGAAATCTCCCCATCAGCAAAAAGGGGCTGTCAGCCTCATCTCTGCCTTATCACACCCGAGGGCCGCCCCAGCGCCCGGACTCGGAGAGGTTTAAACTTGGGCCCGTGAAGTCTGAGCGAGTTCTCGTAAACGCCACCTGATCCTTATTAAAGCAGATTACAAGTATCCCCCTGAAATGTCACTGTGCATTTACAGAGACAGCCGTACAAAAACAGCCAGCCATCACATTTTGCCCTGGAGAATGTACGTTCAGGGAAATTGAAGGCAGGTAGCTGTGAGAGCAAACGGGGCCTGGAAAACACAGAGGACCAAGCTGAGGGTTTGGTCCAACACTCACAAAAGCCTAAGGAAAAGTCTAACAAAATTTGCATTTAAATGGCTCTGTGCAACCCCTCATTAGTGTCTCACACACATGTGTGTGCACACAGGTCCTGACAAATGGAAACACACTCCAATATCTCCGGTTACCTGCAAGGACCTGTGGCTGAAGGGTGCAAGGGATTTGGGCCTGCAAAAAGAGAATAAAAAGGTATTAAAATCTATTTATCATGAGCAGAGTTTTGGACGTCTAATTGCTGTAGTTTGTTAGAGGAACAAAAAGATCTTCCCTGACTTCAGCCATATCCAAGGGGATTAATTTGCCACTCTTCAAAAACAACTCATTGGAGGAATGCCCTCTTTGATTCTTTATTCTCACATTAATTAGGAGCAATAAGTACACTAGATACACTCAGTACTTAAAACATTAGTAGAAATAAATCTGCCACACATCTCAAGAGGGTAACAAAGATCTGGCTGTTTGGGGTGGGAACCTCCAAAGTGAATCCTATTAGAGGGACAACCCATCCAGCTCCCATCCCCTCCAGCCCGGCCAGTGCTGCCCCATCCCACCTGCCATGGCCACGAGCTGGACGTGAATGTTCAGCAGGGCCGTGGTGGGGGCTACAGGAGGCAGCAAGGCCATGAGTGGGGCCCAGAAGATCTCCTCAACATTTTTAAGGACCATGCTTTTTTCTGCACTCAACCCACAAAGCAGCACGTGCTCCCTATCAAACCTCCCAGCCCGCATCCCGTGCCCAAGTCCTTTGTGGTGGCTTTGCTTCTGTCAGCAAATTCCCCATAGCAGAGGAGCTGTGTCTAGGAAGATAGGGGAAAAAAGAAAGAAGAATATTTTGTTTTGAAATATGAAATTAAAGTCAATTTGATCCTTATTCAAGAAAGAAAAAAAACCCACCAAAAAGTGAGGTGACTGAAAATTTCTTAAGATAATTATTCTGAGAGGTTTGAGCCAAACTCTGTCTTCTCCACAGGTGATTTTCAAGATGCTTTGTCATTTCTCTCACTCAAGGACACCCTGCCCACCAGTGGGTTTGCTCACCTGAACAAAGCCATCCACTGGCTCTGGGGACCTGAGGTCCTGCAGTATCCCAGCCAGGACTCCTGCCCACAGGAGAGGGCTGGAGAAGCAGAATGTCAGATTTCCAGCCTCTTGTCGTGGGCTGTGAGTGCTGACACCTCAACCTTTCCTTGTACCCTTCAAGCACCCGGCTGGAGAGGCGGCTGCCTTTATCTCCTGCTTGTTTAACGTAATTACTACTTGTATTTCCTCCCCGCTGGTTCTGCTGGAGCGGAAAAGGCTTTGGCCTTCACTTCACTATACAAAATAAAGAAAAAAAAAATCTGGTTTATAAACACCACTTTTTCTATACTTTCAAAGGCAGGTTGTAGGGTGAGAGTCAGGAGAATGGTCCCTATTTGGAAAGCAGGCTAATAATAATGATGAAGTTGCTGCAGGGAAATCTCTTGTCGAGCCTCCCTGAGCACTCTTTGTTCCCTTAGTAGTAAACAATTATCTTTTAAAGATGTTCTGCTGTCTCCACCACTCACCCTGCTATGAGATATTAAACAACCCCAAAAAGCAGCCCAATTGTGTGCAAAGAGTGGATTTCCTTTCAGAAAGGGTGGGAATTTGCAACTCTTTAAAGACACTTAGTGTTAATTAAAACCTATGCAACCCAAAGAGAAATATAGCACCGTTTTTCAAGGAGGGATGAAGTCAGTATGATTAGCAAGTGTTTTGTTACCATGCTAAAATATGCTTTTTGATTCTTAAAATTCAGTGCCTGCTGCTGATGGAAAACAATTGTTTGTGCTCCATAGCAATGAAAGTTCAAGTGACATAAAAATACTCCACAATATGCTAAAAAAATGTATGTTTTACAAGGAAATCTTAAAAATAAGACTTCTTTTAAAAGTACATTTTGGAGGAAAACATATAAGCAATAAGGAATATGGAAATACTTCATTTAAAATCTGCCTCAGCAGTCAGCAGTGTGTTGATTTGAAATGCTTTGCCCTTCTAACTGTTCCCTTCCTCCTAATAAGCACTGCATCCAATTTGTATGTTATTCTGATGAAATGGTTTAAGCGAGAGAAAATGAGTAGTTTGAAAAATAAAGGAAAGTTCTACAGAAGAAATGAAGTGCTATCATTGAAATCTTTATTTATGTGAAAAGAAAGGGCTAAAACATTACCTCAGAATTCAAGATTACAACATCAGTAGGATATAAAGTAAATCCATTCTCGTAGTGAAACATCAGAAACCATAATCCTTTTTCAAAGACCTTTTGTTATTTTAATGTCTGACAAATTATGCTTTTTTTAAAAGAAGAAAAACACTTAGATTTAAGAGGTTTCTTTTACTTCAGTAAAAGTAGTTTCACTATTTAAAAGTTTTAATTTTCTGTAACCAATAGTATTTACTATGCTGGCTAAGTATTAACACAAGAGCAAGGTTATTTTAGCCTCAGAAGGACCAAATACAAAGTTGCCACCAAAGACTTTTGCATCAAGTTGTTATGGCAACTTAGTGCTCTAAAAAGTATTAAGTTTGAGCAAAAGGTTTTGTTTTGTTAATTTGGTTGCTTTCCTTCAGGTTTTGAAGTTGCTAAGTGTTATAAAAATGTTACATCATTATCATTCAAATGATGGGAGCCCTCAGAACATATTTAAAACTTGCTTATGTTGCAGGACATTCCAGGATGATGTCCAAGGACCCCCAGCCCTGCCTTTTGGGGGAAACCTTTGACCTCAATATGAGCACAGGAGTCATCCCACAATGATCCTAGCACTAAGAAACAAGGATAAGAAGAAAAAAACCTGCATTACTTGCCTTCAATGGCTAAATTGGAGCCATTTAGGAGAGACAGGATGGATAAAGGGATGGAAGGAGGTACCCTTCCCTTGTGCATCCAGCACCTCTCTTTCATGTGTTCATGTTCAAGAGCATAAATAACAAGTTCCTCATGGTATTCTGGACTCTTGACATCACATGAAGACCTGGAAGAGTGAAATAAGCTCCAGAGAGCTCTGCAGCCGAAGGACAGGTTTTGACTGGTGCAGACATGGCAGGAAACTGCTGTCAGAAGCCTGTTCTAAGTCCTGTGCCACAGGTAGAGAAGAGAGAATTATGGGCTTAAAATGAACAAGAGCTCAGGATCATAGGTTTTCTGTCACAGTCATTCCTCTTGGAATGTTCCCAGTGCTGCTCAGACCCCAAACCCTCACCCTACCCCAGATGTGCAACACAAATCTCACAAATCTGAGTGTGCTGTGAGCTCTGGCACCATCCTGAGTCCAGCACTTGTCCCACCCTGCCAGTTTGGGCAGGGGAGAGCTGGAGTTCTCCCAGGTGAGAAGGAACAGCCATGGCAATGTGCAGGGTGGCCTGGGCTGATCTGCCTGGGCAGCCTCAGGGGCCTATGGCCAAAAGGTTCTGCTGGCTTCCTCTCCAACTGGGTCTGGGAGCTTTCCTGTATGTGGTAAAAGAAGGGGAAATAAGAGCAAATTTATTCTGTCCCTCGTGAAATGAGTGCTTCTTTTTACATTGACCAATTTTCTGAGTTTTTAAATGAAGCTGGACACTATGGGGATGTTGTGTTGCTTTAATTAGAACTTTGATTTATTGTTTTTCCTCGCTATACCTCTCAACTCTTTCCTCTCCTAGTTTTCCTACTCAACTCTTTTTAAAGAGAAAGGTGGGTGGAAATAAACAGGGGAAATTGAAAATAAAACCAAAATTTTCAGATATAAAATCCTGACATTCATGTGACCATAACAGATTTAGAGGACAAAAAAAAAATTAAATTTATTTCTTAAATCTGAAATTATTTTGCCACTTAAAACCATGCTTACTTTCTTTTGCGCTACCTACCTACATGGAAAAAAAAAATAAAAAAAAAAATAAGAAGAATTTCCTGCCAAATTCTGCCAAATCTCACATGAACTTGGGCAAATGATTTAATTTGCCAGTTTCTCAGTGCACTGTTTGTGCAGTGAGAACAATACCAATTCCTTTTTCTCATCCCTTTGTCTTGTTTGTTGAGATAGTCACTACTCCAGGGAGTACACAATCTCTAATTATGAGCAACTGGCACAATAGTACCCTGATCTCTAGGACCCACCGCAATACAAAGGACTAATAATCATCACAAGTCTTCTGTTCTGATGCATGGTCTGCAAGAGTTATGAATACTAACATATGCTAGAAAGTTCTGTTTAATTTTGTGTCTTTGAAAGAAAATAAAAGCCTATTTTTCCCATTGGTGCCATTTATACAGGCTTCTACTTTCCAGGAAGCTTCTGCTTTTCCATGTCTTCCTTCTCCCTTTCAAAACAGAAATAAAAGTCTCACTAAATAAAATAAAGATTATGAATGGCCTGTCTTTTCCTTCCTACTAGTTATTGTCACCCAGGAACACACAGCAAAGGATGTCTACGTTATCATTCAGTTTCACAGGGATCTGCCAGCTGCTGGCCATATGCTAAATCCTAAAAGGAATTATCCGTGTTCTGTGCTGTCTGTACATGTCTGATTCCCTGATTATGTGTTTTTACTTGATTATGGCATATTATAAATCCAGCTAACTTAACTTTTATGGTTAGAATCCAAATCTTCTGGTTGTTGAGGGTGGTTTTTTTATTCAAATTAAATTCCACTGCCACTGTGGAAAGTTTATGCGGCAATAAACGGGATGAAAACAGTCAGATTTCATACAAATGCATCAAACACAAACCAAAAAGTCTGTGGGATTTAATTTGTAATGACAGCCCTTCTTTAGAGTTTGATTTTTAATGATGTGAGAGCATTTCACAGCAGACAGAATTTCCCATCAGCTTCTATGGCCCTGTCCTGAACCTCTGTCCCCAAAGCGACTCTTATGGTTTCCACCTTGGAGATCCCATCACAGCCACTGCAAGGCCAGGAATATATTCCTTCAGCCCCCTCACCATCCTTAATGAGAGGGGACAATGGAGCAGGGAAGGATGAAGTGGATTGCTCAAAGTCAGAGGAAATAGCTGACCTGGGAATTGAGCTCCAATTGCTCAGCCCTTGAGCAGGAGCCAAACCACAGGCTATTGTTTGCTACAGAATCCTCTGGACATCTCCAGATATTTGAAGTCAGATTTTGTGAGCGATCTCGTTATGCACACACTCATCTGAAAATGATACAACACTGTACAACACCGAGGCAGGCTTTTATATGCCCAGGCTATGGAAAATCTTCACTACAAAAGCATTCTAAAATGCCTTTTACATAGGAGAGTTATTTTTTAGAATGCAGGAACATATCCCTTGGGGATGCAGATTGTTTCCTCAGGACTCAAACATTCCCACGTGGTAAAATGAAGTAGGAGGATCCAGTGAAAGGAGCTCTTGCTTCTCATTTAATTTACTACCTAATACTCAGCAGCCCAAGATTTATAAGACACTACAGAATTGTCTACACGTTTCCCCTTGTGGCAGATAGCAGATAACTGTTAATAGACTTGCTCAGAAAGTTTATTTAAAGGAAGAACTTAACTGTATTATTTTTCATGGAGGTGTGAACATTGCTTAAGGAGCTTAAGTCTCCATGTATAAGTATTATCAGATAGGTTCATGAGGATGCTAATGTGCATTAATATGAAACTCCAAAACCAGCTTTCACTGGTGTACGTAGATAGGGCCATTTTGTAAATAATGCCCTTTCAGATATTGCAGAGTTCTGGGATTGCTGAATGCATTATTATTTCCAAATACAATAATATTAACCCATACTACACACCTTCTCTATCCTCTTTCTGAAGCTCCTGTTAAATCAACAAAGCCACTCATGCAGAATTCAGTCTCCTCTACAACTGCGCCTGGCATCTGCCTGGGTAAGATTTTGTCTGCCCTTCTACTCAGGACCATGCAGATGTTGTAGAAAAGCCAAGGTGCTGAAGGGGCTCCACATCTCATTTTCACTTTTCAGATGTACCCACATATTTTCCTGCCCTGCCCTGCTCCTAATTTAAATCCTTTACCACGAGAGTCAGTAGCTCACTGAGCAGGGCTGAGCTCCGGTTTCCAAACACTGTGACAGAGATGTCTGACCCCTTTCCATGCAATTGAGCACCTTTAGAACCTTTGGCCTTCAGTGAGGGGGGAAGGCACACACACCTCACTGCTCAGCACTTTCCAGGATTTAACCCACCCTGCACATGCTGTGTGGTGATGAAAACGTGATTAAAGGAGAGTATATTACATTATGTCCAGCTTAAGAGAAATATTTTAATGGAATAAAGAAAGAGCCATACATTTTCTTTTTCTGGTTTAGATGTAAGGTTCACCTCGTGGTATTTACAACCTAAAGCTCTCCAATATTGGGTTAGCTAATAGGATCCAGACAATGAAGCTGACTACAGGGAAAAGCAAGAGACTGTTTTAGTTTCACCAGCCAAGGAGAAGAAAAGACCCAGCTTGATAAATGGTGAGAAGTATATTAGATGTTAAAAAATATTTCATTTTTAATAATCCTAGGTGTTACTGACAACCCAGGTAAAAAAGCAAAGTTCATTTCTTCAAAATATATTTAATCTGACAGTATCCCTTTAATTAAGTAGCAATTTAGATTTTCTTCTCCTCCACATACAAAGCTTTAATGAAACATGAAAGCCACAAAAGAAATTTGAGTGTGTTTCATGGCGAGGCGTGAGGAATGATTTTCTGTTTAAATTCACAGACAGTAGCTATACAAATAACATTTAATATTTGTCGGAAGTATTATCTGCCTTTTTCCCTCACAGCATTCCATTACTAAGGTAATAAGTACATGAGAATACACGATTTCCTGGCTACTGTATTGAATATGCACCTTTAAAC